GCATCAACCCAGCCCCGCCAGTGACGTTTTTTCCAAGGGATCCCCCCCCCCCCCAACCGAAAACAAATGTTATTATTTCCTTGGTATTTTTTTATTTCGTTTACAAAAAAATATAAAAATTAGTGTTCTTTTTCTATATTTTAAATAGTTTTTCTATATTTTGTCCCCCACTAGGTTGTTTCGAGGAAGCTTCCTAGGGACAATAATCGTTTCAGTGGGGACCGTGGACTTGGTCAACTTTTTGCTTTTATCTTGTTTTATTTTTTATTATTTTTTCATTGGATATCCAAAGGCTTGTGGTCATTTACATTTGGTAGATATATAACCACCATACCATTGGGATAACTTTGATTTACACGGTTGTGTGATGACGAGGATTTTAGCACACAGTTCCAAGACCTTCGTTGTCTCCATTCACTTCAAGGCTTTTGTATTTATTCATGTGAAATCTAAGAACCTTTATCAGAATGGATCGCAATCTCCATCACTCACTTCGATTTATTGATATTCTGGGATGACAAAATTTGGAATCATTTCTCATCTCCCAAATATAGGTGGTGGATTGGTGTCCAATCTAGCTAATTCTCATTGCATCCATATGAAAATTCAGAGGTAACACATTACATTATGATGTTGTCGTTCTTTTTGTTCCAAAAGAAATTAATGTTTTATGAAAAATGTTCATTTTGATAGTAAGTTTTTATATGAAAAATATTTAGAACATCTCTTGAGAGTAATCCAGTATGGAAAAAATTTCAAATGAGTCAATAAATAAGTCAAAGTTGGAAAGATTTTCACTGACTTTATTATATAATGTTTTCTATATGAATACAGATTTCAAATGAGTCAATCAACCGAAGCTTGTAAGCCATTTTTTGTGTTGTAATTTAAGACACATTACCTAGAGAAGAAATTCAATAATTTAGACCTCCTCTAGTCTTCGATGCTTAATATTTGACGTTTAACTTTACATCAAAGCCTTTTCTATGTAACTCTCAAATCCAGAGGTTTACAAATTATCATGTTTCTGATCCTTCATTGGTTTTGTTTTAAGATTGAGTCTTAGAATTGGATGACCATTGCAAAAAGATATTCCTACGGGGTACGTGCAGAACTTCTTGTTTCCTATAAAATTATAACGAGTTCTACCAGTTAACATGAATCATTTAGCCATAGAATCATATACGTACAGGAAATATTATTTTATTTTTGGTATTTTTCTCTATATCATGTTTGTATTCTCTTATGAAAGTAGCAGAAAATGGATGTGGGTCTTCGTAAGTCTTGTTCAACTTTGGCGCGTGCTCTCTGCAAAACGTCAAAGGGAAAGAATGGACACAGAGGAAGAAGAATATAAGAGCGGATGAAAAATGATAAAATGCTTTATATTGTAAAAAATTATATTTCAATGCAATTTCTTTCTTTTTAGCCATATAATAAAAAGTATTGAAAACATAGAAAGAAATTAATAAGAGGTCAAAAATATATTAAAAAAGTAATTAATATTTTATGAACATTTTAAAGGAGCAAAACTAAAAATTTCTAACAAAAAAGGATTTTTAAAATCAAAATAAGAAGTCATCCAATATTTTGGTTAAAATATTTTTAATCATCATTAATTTTTAATAATTATAGCTAATATTGAATTTCAAGAAAATATAATAAAAATTATTAGAAATGATTTAAAATTATAAGTTAAAACAATTACAAGTAATTATTGACTAGAAAACCTCATTCATTACTTCTAGAAAAAAACTAATATGTCTTGTATTCTTAAACATAGTACTCCATCAAGTGATATTTCTAATTACGTTTTTGAAACCAAGAAGATATATCTAAATTATTGATAATTTCTGATAATAAATTTCTCAATTTAACCTTATTAAATGTGCCATATTCTAAAACACTTTTTATTTCACATATAACCTTTTACTTTATCTATAGAAAATTGAAAAAAGGATAAAATTTAAATAAAGTAATTAATAATTAATATTTTCATACACAAGAACTTATAAAAAAAAAACCATCAATAGCTGGCCAAAAACATAAAACAACCATCAATTTTTTCTAAAAAATAACTTGTATGTAGTATTAAATGAAATATATCTAAAAAGTATTCCTTTCATCCCATTTTATAAAATACTTTTAAATAAAATTAAACATATTAATAAAATTTATTAAATTTTTTTAAAATAAAAATAAAAATATTTAAAAATACACTTAATTTAATACTTTACATATAAAAAATATTAAAGAGAATAAATATGCAAAAAAAGTAATATTAAAAAATTTTATTAATAAAAATTTATTTTTATTAAAATATTTAATATTTTAAAATGTCATAATTTTTTTAAAAGAGTTTCATAATTTAAAATACGGATGTAGTATTTTATAATTAAGATGGTGGAGTACCTTTTTTCGGTTTTTATCATTGTCATTTGATTGGTTTGGTGAAGCTCGCAAGGAGTTAGGTATCCAACGCTTACTCACACTTACTTCACTGAGTACATTTGAAAAAGGGATAATCTCAATAAAGGATACACAAGAATCAGTAATTACTATTTAGAATCACGAAATATTTAAATTGAGTTTCAGGACCATAATCTTTTTTGCAGTTTAAAAAATAATATTTTGACTAAAACAACCTTGCCTAAAATGCACATTTAGTCACTTACTTTTAAGAGTATTTTAATCATAATAATAATTTGTACAAGGAAGAACTTTATAATAATATTAATGCTAAATTAGGAGCTTTAATACTGAAATATAGTAGAAAGAATATTGAAATTTGAGAACATCAGTGTTAAAAAATTTTAATTTAACATTAATATTCTTATAAGATTTTTTTTTGTCATTCTCCCTTGTTATTATTTGTGATTTGCCCTTTGAAAATGGGACAGCAATGGGAGAAGAAATTAAATAAGGAGAATTTCAGTTGAGAACTCATGTAAATGTTTACTTTCAAATCAGACCTAATAAAATCTTAAAATACATTGTAGAACTAATGAATTGAATTGAAAATAAATTTTGATAAAAATTTACCAAATGCCCTTTATTTTTCAACATAGGAGGTGAACTTTTAAAATTTTAACATAAGTTATCATTTTACAAATGTATACTTATTAATTACTTGAATTTGAAAAGACCCTGCAGCATGGCATGGTTATAAAGCAACCAGGTTTGTAATCACCAGACAGTGTTGTATGAAGAATTGCTTAGAATAAAAGACAAAGTCTTATACATCAAGTAACATTCAAAGCACTTTAAGGCTTGTTTGTTTAAAATTAAAAAGTAAATGGTTTTTACGTAGTTTTGAGATTTTATAAAAATAAATTTATTTTGTAGAGATTTTATAAAAAGTAGACATTATTTTATGTTTGGTTACAATAGTAAAAAATTGATTATTAATGAGTTATTTTTAAATTTTATGATATCTTCCTTGATTTTTATTTTATAAAAGTAATTTATTATTATATTATTTAAAACTTTTATGATATTTTTGTGTGTTCCCCCTCTTTAAAACGCACTCTCTCATCTACCGTATTAGATTATTTTTAGAGTAGCTTCTTAAAATAATTAAAGATTTACCCTTTTTGGAATTATGATTATTTTTAAAAGTTTAATCGAATATAATATAAACTTACAAAATTGTTTATCAAAGTATTATTAATGAAACTTTATACTTATTAAAGTATTTTATATTTTAAAAAGTTAATTTTTTTAAAAATATTTTATAATTTAGAATGGAGGAAGTACAAATTTTAAAAAGGTTTATAACTAAAGTTTTTCTCCCATATACGGCCAATGTAGTGGGACGTAGAATCCCTCCTCTGTTCTATTTATTGTCGGACCATCTGACCTATTTTCTTTTTTTTTTTGGTATATTTTATAGTATTTTTTTAAATTATTATATATTAAATAAAAATAAAAATATTATAAAGGATTTATAATAAGTGGGTATGGGCTCAGAATAAAAAATGAGCAATCAATATGAAACCAATACTTAAAAAAAATTATTTTCAAATTATAAGTAAGATGTTTTTTAAAAGTGTTACTTAATTTAAAATATAAAACATAGAGTAATTTTTATAATTGCATGGATAACTGTAAAATATAGGACATTGTGATCTAAAATTTATAAGTAATTACTTATCTCCTTTACATTTTCACTATATTAAAAATTTAAATCTTCCACTCATTTTTAAAAATTGAACCCATTAAAATATTCTTTTCCTTCTAATTATATTATATTGTAATTGAAAATTAATATCCCGTATATCACACTGCTATAAGATCAAGCGGATGAGAATGGAATGACTTGGACGGTGTGGACAAACATAAACCATTCGAGGAATCTTCCTGGGGATAATAATTTATTATATTTTTATTAACTTTTCAAACGGGAACATAATTTTTGTCTAATTAACATGGGCAGCAAGAGTGGATTCTTTTGCATGTGTTTGAAAGCATGATTAGATTCTTCCATAAACGCTGGTTTTATTAGGATATGGGATACAAGGGAATATTGACTAGAGATTTTTTTTAATTAATATTAATATTGACTCTTGTTAATGGATGACTTTTCACCTTGTTCGAGGCTGCCTTTGACATTCGGGTGTAGTGACGAATCCAAAAAAATAAATCGAGGGACATAATTTTTTTAAAAAATAAATATTAATATTTTATTAAAAAATATAAATTTAATTATGTATTAAATTATATTAAAGGTATAATTTAATAAAATTAAATACTAAAAACAATGCATAAACATAAAATTATAATGAAAAATTATCTTTATATAAAAACTTGTTATGTCAGTTTTATGTTTTTTAATTTGATATACCTTTTCTGTATAGAAGAGAATTAATTTGTGATATTCCTTAAATTATATGTATGTGTAAATTCCTTAAATTATAGTCGGGATCGGATTAGGTGTGGAAGAAAAAATTACGATAAACTCTATGCTGGTGCTTGAATCAAAATATTAGTCCTACAATTCCTATGATGTTTCATAATAATAACAATAAACATTAACCCATTTAAGACTTGCCATACAATTTTCCCAATGACACCTTCCATGTGCTGTGCGTGGGATTTCAATGGACCACCACAATTTTTTTTAACCATATCCTCGATCTAATCCATATCAAATTGATGAGACTTTAACAAGGATCTACACTAATTCAAATCGAATTAGTACAGGACATTTTTAAATGAAGGTTCTACCACCAACCCTAATACATTTCATAACTCAAATTCAAGACATCTCGAGAAGCTAGTAATTGAATTAAGCTTGTGATGGTAATGGATCATTGAGAAAAGGTCATATTGAACTGTGGTGGTGGTCACCACCGAAGTGGCCTCCGTCATGGTGGTGGTGGTGGTGTTCATGGTGACTGGTGTGGTGATGTTGGTGGACGTCGTGGTTGCTATGGTAGTGGTGGTGGCGGCTTCTTTGGTGATGGCCATCATCGTTAGTGTTGTGGCCACCATGACCGCCATCGTTGTTGCCACCACTTGCATCACCGCCATCTTCGAGATCGAGTTCACCGCCATCTTCATGGCGTCCCACTTCGGTTGCTGGCTCCATTGATTTTCTTAGTCGACACAAAATTAAAAGACTAATTAAAAAGACGATGAAGCAAAAACAAAAATGATGATGAATATTCCCAAACCTGCAGGTAGTCCCATCTGGCCCTCCGCTAATGAAAGCTCTCTTGCGTACGTAAATGGCGATACCGAACTCATGGGTTTGGTTTTATAGGAGTACGTAGTCATATATGAAGTTCAATTTCCATCACATGCATGCTGGGATTTAAACTTAAACGCGTTTTTTGGTTTTTTCTGGGAATCTTCTCGACTTTCTGCATTTTCCTCCTGCAGAGTTAGAGTTTCATTACTAGGCCAAACCTTTTTTCACCCTTTGGACGGCCGCACACAATTGAATCCATCACCCGGAAACTTAACGCGTTTTTCAGGATTTTTCTGACCTTTTATTTCTTTAAATTTCCGGAAATAAAAACTAAGAAAAGAATAGTCCCGCCACGCCTCACTGAAACTTCATCATCGCCTTCTTAAATGAGTGCCAAAGAAGGCCCACCACCAACTTAGCCTTTGAAATAAATAAGATATCAATGAAAACACATGCAAATATTCATAAACCTAAAACATTATTAAAGATAACCTATAAAAAAAAACCTAAGTTTTTATTTTTATTTTATCTTCATCGATGCAAATTCAGCGGCCAACCTATCCTCACAAGTTTTCTCCTAAATAAATGGTTTATCAATTTAAAAATTTTTTTTTTTTGATTTTTTGGTAATTCTTGATGTAGATGTTAAGTCCACAAATGTTATTGCAATCATAGATTACAAGAAAATTTTCAACAATCTAATTGATATATGATAGCCATCTATCCGCTGAGGTGCTTTGCTTTTTCTAATTTTTATTGTTATCTATCTTTCTGTATTTATTGTAACAAATTATTGCATCCACCTTCCATTTGTGTTTAAAATTTATCAATTATGTTATTCCATAATTTTTTATTCATTTTGTAATTTTTTAATATTAATTATTGATCAAGTAGTTATTATCTTTTTATTATTTTGCTAATATAAATACTTAACATGTACTAATTATCACTATTTAACACTTGAGAATTTGTAAAAATAACATCCCATGCAACCCATAGGTGATTAACTAGTATATTTAAATTTAACTGTCGGTTAAACTCATCTCCAACTTCTATTATTCCTCTGGGTGAAGAGCTTAAATACTAAGGTCCTATTTGCTTATTAGAAAAGAATTAAATAGAATGAATTAAAAAAATAAATATAAAAGTAAGATAATCAAAGGGATATGTGAGTATATTCATAAAGGAGAGAGGTAATTTACTATATGGGATTGATAATCATGATTTATAAGATTTTTGGAGGGCATGATAATTTTTATATTTGTAATATATATTAATGAGTTTTATCATGCTTACTATAAAAGGAAAGGTAATTTAATTTATTTTTGTCTTGATTTTTTCAATCCATTCTATTTCTTTTCTTTTTAGTAAACAATCGAGATTTAAGAATGTCAAAGTTTATGTGGCACTACTTTAGTACTTATATTTTATCATCCTTGAATTCGATATCAACTTCCCCACTTTTTAGCATGACCTTCCAGAATTCTGGCATCAACACACACCGAATGTCAATGGCATTTGTTACAACGATGGAGAATGTGATGCAGAATGTTACAAACTCACTTGCCTCATTTTAAAGCATTCCCATCTCTGGTCGTATATATGTAGTTTCACAAACATAATCACTTTTTGCAGTAGTCATTTTAAATTAGAAATTTCGTATGATAGTAAACGAGTCATTAGCCCAAAAAACAAAAAGATCAAATTTAGGTGAAATTGGGTATCACATTTTTGGGGAGTTAGGAAGCACATGCCGGTTGGTTTACTCTAACCCCACCAATGCCTTTCGGTTTTGCGATTTCATTCCCCCCCCTTTTTTTGACTGTTTCCCTTTTTTCGACTGTTTGGTAGATATATAACCAGCCATACCATTTCGACAACTTTAATTTGTTGTATATGTGTCAAAAGTGTGTGTGTGTCAAAGTCCCACATTGACTAAAGGAAGAAATCTCCTAGTGTATATATATTAAGGAATGAAGTGGGCTAGTAAAATGGGCTTGGATGAGAAGTGGTCTCGCGCATATGAGACAGGCCAACTCAGGGCAATCGCAGTTGAAATTAGCCGATTTGCCCCCCCCCGCGCGAGTTTAAGAGGCACTGGGTTCCTTTTACCCGGTTATTTTTACAAAAAATGGTTAAATAAATAATTATTTTTGCTTACCTGAAAAACCTCTGATTTAGCTGTTTTCAAGTTGAACTTGAGGCGTTGGCAGTTTTCTGGAAACTGAATTCTGTGCGTTAATATTTTTCCTGCCAAACATCTCCAGATTGAACGCTGAACGTTTTCCGATTAATGGACGTGCACGTTTCTGCTGTTTAAGACGTGTAACTGAAGCATTAATCCATGAACGTTTGTTGTTTAATGTGTGTATAACCGAAGCATTAACCGGTAATTATAACCCAACGTTTGTGTCTCAATCCTCAGCCTATAAATAGACATTGGTGCGGACAGAACAGAGAGAAAGCGTTCTCGTCCTCTCCTCTGATCTTCTGTTCGTCTGTTTTTGTTCGTTGTCTCCGCTGTTCTGTTTCCTTGCTCCGCCACAGGAAGTGCTCGTTTAATCCTGGGGGACTACCGGTCCACCGTCCAGGTGTACCGGAATAGTTCTTAAGGATAGTGTTCATTCGAACAAGACTCAAGCAATTATTAGCTCGATGTTCACCTCTGCATTTGCTGTTTCTAACATTCTTAAGAACTATTCAAGCCAATGGCGACCGACGGTGCTGAGAATGTCACTCCCGAAGGTGTGCTCAGTGGTTCGGCTGGAGGTCAATTCGTCCCTGCTGCTGTTGCCGTTCCCCTGCCAAGGCTGTTCCCTGACATATCAAAGATAGAAGTCTTTGATGGCCGGAACTTCAAACGCTAGCAGGAACGTGTCTTCACTGTTCTTGACATGCATGGTGTGGCCACTGCTCTTGCTCAATCCGAGCCTCCTGCTGATACTGATCAAGCCCAGAGAGTTGCATGGACTCATTCAAATAAGGTATGCCGACACACTATCATTAACACTTTATCTAATGATTTGTTTGATGTCTACTGTGTCTACTAGGAAGCTTGTAAAATATGGGAGTCCCTGGTGACAAAGTACACTGCTGAGGATGCCGGCAAACAAAAATTTGTTGTGGGCAACTACTACAAATGGGAGATGATCGAGAACAAGGATGTCAAGGAGTAAATTAACGAATATCATAAGCTGCTGGAGGAGCTTCGTGCTGAAAACATCAACCTTCCAGACGAGTTTATTGCTGGGATACTGATTGAGAAGCTGCCAGAATCATGGTCTAACTACAAACAGCAATTGAAACACAAACAGAAGCAGCTGTCCTTGACTGACTTGATCACTCACATCATCATCGAAGATACCAACTGCAAGGCAATACGTGCAGCTCGAACCAGAGAAATGACATCCAAAGCCAACCTGGTGGAGACAAAGCCTCACAACAAGAGGTATGATTCTAAAACTAAAGACAAGAAGAATAGGAAAACTGATTACAAACCCAATGCTTCTAACCCCTCTTTCAAAAAGAAAGGAGACTATTTTGTCTGTGGTAAACCAGGACACTATACAGTACAGTGTAGGAAGAGAGCAAACCGTGATAAGCCTCGGAAGCCAAATGTAAATTTGGTACAACGAGATGGTGACAGTGATGATGACATCATTGCTGCAGTGGTGTCACAAGCTCTCTTGATTTTTGATGTGAAGAAATGGGTGGTAGACTCCAGGGCTACCAGGCACATATGTGCAAGCCAAGAGATGTTTACCACCTATAATCCTGTAAAGGAAGGGGAAGACCATGTTTACCTTGCTGATTCCCGAACTGCTAAAGTTCAAGGAAAAGGGAAAGTGGTCTTAAAGCTCACATCAGGAAAGACTCTGGCTCTAAATGATGTTCTGCATGTGCCTGAAGTTAGAGCTAACTTAGTGTCAGTTACTCTTTTAGGGAAAGCTGGGGTTAAAGTGTCATTTGAATCTGACAAGATTGTAATGACAAAAAATAATGTGTTTGTAGGCAAAGGGTATTGTAATCAGGGACTGTTTGTTCTAAATGTTGATGAAATAAATAAGACTGAATCTTCTGAGTATATGTCTGTTTATATGGTTGATTCCTTTGATTTGTGGCATGCTAGACTAGGTCACGCTAGTAAAGGTTATATAAATAGGATGCGACAACTTGGACTACTTTCTGAAATTAAAAACAGAGATTTTGGAAAATGTGAAGTATGTGCAAAAACTAAACAAAGTAAAAAACCTTATTTTTCTAGTCAAAGAGAATCTGAATTACTATCTTTAATTCATACAGATTTAGGTGACTTAAAACAAACCATGACTAGAGGTGGTAAAAAATATTATATCACTTTTATTGATAATTTTTCAAGATATACTAAAGTATACTTGTTAAGAAACAAAGATGAGGCTTTTAAAAAATTTCTGTTATATAAAGCAGAGGTTGAGAATCAGTTAAACAAAAGAATTAAAAGGGTTAGATCGGATAGAGGAGGATAATATGTTTTGTTAAATGATTTTTGTGAAAAAGAAGGAATTATACATGAGGTAACACCTCCTTATTCTCCCGAGTCTAATGGTGTTGCAGAAAGAAAAAATAGAACATTAAAAGAAATGATGAATGCTTTGTTTGTGAGTTCTTCTGCCCCTGATAACTTGTGGGGTAAAGCTATTTTTTCTGCATGTTTTTTACAAAATAGGATACCTCATAAGAAAACGAAGAAAACACCTTATGAGTTATGGAAAGGGTTTACCCCAAACTTAAAATATTTGAAAGTGTGGGGGTGTCTTGCAAAAGTTTTATTGCCTAATCCTAAAAAGAGGAAAATTGGCTCTAAAACTTCTGATTGTATGTTTATTGGGTATGCTGAACAAAGTGCAGCGTATCACTTTTTAGTTTTAAAAAGTGATGTTTTAGACCAAAATACAATTATAGAAACTAAGGATGCTGAATTCTTTGAACATATTTTTCCTTTGAAAATTAAGCATGTTTTTAAACCTGTTGAGAATTCAGAGTTTGAACAAAATTTTAACGAGGATTTAGTTTTAAGGAGAAGTAAAAGGCAAAGGAAAGAAACAAGTTTTGGAGATGACTTTTACACTTATCTAGTACAAGATGAACCGTTAAATTTTTATGAAGCTATTTCTTCTCCTGATGCCAAATATTGGAAAGAAGCAATTGAAATTGAAATTGATTCTTTAAGGAAAAATAAAACTTGGGTTTTATCAGATTTGCCCCA